GTGGGGCTGGGGGATTGAACCGTGGTCCCTGTGCTTTGCTAAGCTTGTTCTAAGTAGGTGCTTTAGACCACTGAGCCATCTCACCAGCCCCAATGCTTCCTATTCTTACAATGTTGCTTTGTAAATCTTTTTTGAAATCTTGGTTCTCCATATTTAAGGTGTTCTTAAGTTAAAGGTAATAGTGGCCTGAGCAAATGAAATCTGGACTACGCACCTTTTCTTCCCTGGAACAAAATGCCTGACATACACAACTCAAAGGAAGAAAGATTTACTTAGGCTCGCAGTGTCAGTCCGTGATCCACTGACTGCTAGGCAAGACCAACACGGCGGTTGGCCCTGAATCAAGGCCAGTAGTTTGCTGTAGCTGCTGGTTTCAAACAGGAGCCTAAAGAGAAGTCTTTCTATGGTCTGTTGGCCATTTCAGAACTTTGGAAATGAAATGGTCAATTCATTAGAAAGAAACAGCTTACAAAAAAAAAAAAAAAAAAAACCATTTTATAGTTTAAATTTTATTTAAAGAGAAACGTGGCAGAAGGGGGTGGGGGAGGAAAGCTGCTCACCTCATGGCAGCCAGGAAGCAGAGAGTTGGAAAGAGCTGGAGAGGAAGGGGCCAGAAAGCAGATGTCATCCTTCACCGGCAGCTTCCAGTAACTGCTTCCTGTAGTTGGGCTCCACCCCAAGACCCCACTCAGCTGTGACCTCATCAGTGGGTAATCCGCTGATGTTAGTCTTATGATCCTGTTACATCTCACACCTGAATAGTGCTATATTGGGGATTGAGCCCTCAATCCATGTCTTTTGGAGTTACTTCATATTTAAACCACAGCAGAACCCAGCATGTTTTTGGCTAAAGCTGCAGTTTGTTTTTGTTTTTGTTTTTGTTTTTTGAAAAAGCATCTTGGTAAGTCATTAAGTTGCTCAAGGTGAATTCCAATTTGAGGTCCTGCCTCCTCTGCCACCCAGAGTGTTGTGATTATAGGCATGCATCTAACATACCCAGCTCAAAGTTTTTAAATTTAAAGCATATCTTTCTTACTCCTGTAGATGATTCCATTTATTACCTAAGTTCTTTTGGTTGAGCTCTGCTACCTTCACAACTTTTTCCACTATTGATTTCCCTCCTTGGGGAGGTAGCTTGGCCAATGTGTATGCTAGGATCTTAGGCAAGCACTAAGAGAAAACCCTTTCACATCTTTCAGCTGCTTTCAAGTTCTGCCTTCAGAAGCTACATTTGTGATGCTTCCTTTTGACTTTTTTTTTTTTTTTTTTTTTTTTTTTGAGGGGGACAGACAGGGGACAGGGTCTCATGTAATTCAGACCAGTCTTGAACTCACTATTTAGCTAGCCTAGGTTGGCCTCAAACAATGATTCTCTTACCTCAGCCTCCTGAGTGCTGGGATTATAGATTTGTGCTCATATGCCCAGCTCCTTTTAACTTCTTAATGTCTATTCTTATTCATCATTCTTGGCTGCTTTGTATTGTTAATTCTTCATTTCTGAAAAGTTCCTTTGCAACAGGACCTATTTATTATTCCTTAGATCCTAACTCCTTACATAGATTTTTTTTTTCTTTTTTGTATTTTAGGGAAGGGTCTACAGGGTGTTCAGAGTCTCACTACTAGATCAGACTTGTAGTGATCTGCCTTTTTACAGCCTCAGTCCTGGGATTACAGGCACACACCACCATGCCCATTCTCAATTGATATTTCAGCGTGCTCTGGGGATCGAACCCCTGGCTCCTGTGCCTGCTTGCAGGCGCTTTAATCCGCTGAGCTATTTGGTCCGCCCCTTATATAGTTTTTATATTATGGCTTATTAACAAATACTTACCTTCTATTCTAACTAGTGAATCTTGTCTTAGCCCTAACTTTCCCAGCTCTTCATAGTCATCTTATATACTTTCTTTAAGGTACTCCTCAAATTGTAAATATATGGTATTATTCTTCTGACTAATGTTACCCATGGAATTTTTTCCTTTTTTTATTTTTTTATTTTTTTTTTATTTTTGTGTTTGTTTAGTGCTGAGGACCAAACCCAGGATTTTATGTGTACTAGCAAGTGTTCTGCCACTGAGCTATATCCCAGTCTGCAATTGTTTTCTGACTTTAAGATTCTTATTTCTGTGTGTGTGTGTGTGTGTGTGTGTGTGTGTGTTTGTATGTATGTATGTATGTATGTGTGGTGTGTTCAACACTATGCTATATAAAAAATAAAAGCTATCATTATGGAGTATGTAGTATGTCTAAGATTAATAAATCTAATAAAATAAGTAATATTATCCCCATTTTACAGATGAGGAAACTAAAGAGTGTAAGTAGTTGTCCAGTGTCCCTCAGCTAGTGACAGAGCTGGATTTGAATCTAAAGTCATATTCTAGAACTTTTAACTATTGTATAATGCTGCTTTTCCATGCATTGTCTTAAAAGTTCTCATTTCTCCATATTTTGTTTCTTCAATAAGTTGGAATCTTAATGATCTCTATTCTTTGTTTAACAAATCCTCAAACTCTAGTACAGTTATTTAGATCAGTATTAAATACTTACTAAATAACTAGCTTTAATACTTTAGTAAGTATTAAATACTTACTAAATAAAGGAAAATGATACTAGCTGTTGTCAGTATATATGCTTACATTTTTCTTTTCTTTTTTTTTTTTTTGGTGGAACCGGGGATTGAACTCAGGCCCTTGTGCTTGCCAGGCAAGCACTTCTACTGAGCTATCTCTCTGGCCCCTATGCTTATGTTTTTCATCTAAATTTCAGGGCATTCGAATCTGAAATTCGATTTTATGCTGGAAATGACCCTCTGGATGTTTGGGATAGGTGAGTATTTTTATTTGACAAAGCCAATAGAAACTTGAACGGGTGAGTCCTTATGGCTGTGTTCCTCAGGTTTGGTTTGTGGCAGTGGTACGTCAGAGTAGAAAGTGGCTTCTTGAGGCGTGAAGATCCAGAATAGCCTTGATGCTTTGGGTTTATTTTGTAGTGTTGGGGACAGAAACTAGGACCTCAGATTCTTACATGTGCTAGGCATGTGCTCTACCTCTATGCCCTCAGACCCTTGAGTGTTTGAGATCACAGTTTAGTTTGTAGCATACAGCTGTGAGCTTTAACTTTTTGTCCCTCTCCCCAGTATTCCCCCTAAACATATATTATAACTACTGTGGAAAAGTTTGAGATTATAGGCTTAGGATGTCATAGATATCTCTAAAGAAACATACTTTATTAGATACTAAATGTTTAAATATTTTCACCTAAAGAAGTCTAGAATTGGTCTTGGAGCCAGAACAGAAGTACACTTTCAATTCAAAATATGTTCTTTTCCTTTTCTTCCTACTCAGGTATATTAACTGGACAGAGCAGAGCTATCCTCAAGGTGGGAAGGAGAGTAATATGTCAACATTGTTAGAAAGAGCTATTGAAGCACTACAAGGAGAAAAACGTTATTATAGTGATCCTCGATTTCTCAACCTCTGGCTGAAATTGGTGAGCCTTTCTTAAATACCATTTAAGTTTAAGATGCTAAACCAAGAGATTTTTCTGGGCCAGGGAGATGGCTCAGTGCAATAAGCGCTTCCCTGGCAAGCACAAGGGCCTGAGTTCAATCCCCAGTTCGGTGCAACCCTCTGCCAAACCAGAGATTTTTCTCTAGAGATACCTAGTATATGAAAGAGACAGGCAGGCACACACACAGATACCTAGTATATGAGACAGGCAGGCACACACACACACACACACACACACACACACACACACACCACGGAGATAACTCAGTGGAATAAGTTCTTGCCTGGCAAGCGCAAGGTCCTGAGTTCAATCCCCTGTACCACAAAAAAAAAGGAAAAGGAAAACTGGACCCATGTAGTAGATAGTAAATATTGAATACATACTTGGCCTTTTTTTTTTTTTTTTTTTTTGATACAGGGGTCAAACCATGACCTAGTCCTCACCAGTTAGGTACTATGCTATTGAGCTATATCCCTGGCCATACTTCGATTTTTTTTTTAATTGGCTACACTTAAAAGATGGATTTCAAAGTAGCATAATGAGGTTTTTACTCCTTTAAGACTGATCATAAAGTTTGCAGAGCTCTTGTTCACTTATTCTGAACATAACTGGGCCATGTACCTGTACAGAAGGAAGATGTGCAGGAACCAGCCCTCTCAGTACAGTTTGTGTAAGAATGATTCCTTAGTGATTCTGGAATCCCTTTCTTGTCTTTATAAGAATCACCATAATATAGTGATGTTTTAGTTTTTATTGGTCTTTGACTACTTTCACCTAGTATATTAACACAAGAATATATGTCAGCCTGACCACTTTGTACTCTTTAACTTGACATGTAGTTCTGTCTTTTCTAGCATGTTTCATGGATTTTTTTTTTTTTCATGAAAATATCTTTTATAAAGCTGGGCATGATGCTGCATACATGACCTAGCACTCAGGACGCTGAGGCAGGAGGATTACTACAAGTTCAAGGCCAGCCTGGTCTACATAAAAGGAGCCTGTCTCAAAAAAAAAAAAAAAAAAAAAAAAACCCAAACGAAAAAAATCACTAACTAAAACCAAAGATTTTTATTTATTGCTTTTGTCGCAAAAGAAATTTAAAAGAAAGCAATCGATACTCATGATTATTTATAAGTATTGTAGTATAATAAAAGTATTTTAAACCTGACAAATATACATCTCTTAAACAGGATTTATTTATTTATTTATTTGGTACTGGTGGTTGAACTCAGGACCTTGTGTTTGCCAGGCAGGCACTTAAGCTGCTAAGCTAGCTCCCCAGCCCCAAATAGGATTTATTTAAATCTCAAATAATTGTCAGAGCTGTGTGTGGTGACACATACCTATAATCACAGCACCTGGGAGGCTGAGGCAGGAGGATTGCTGTGAGTTCAAGGCCAGCCTGAACTATAGCATGAGACCTTGTCTCAAAAAAAAATTACAGGTATAAGAAATTAGGTGAACCCTACATGTACAATGTATCTTGATTTCTGGAGAATAGTGGCAAATATTGTAAAATAGTGACTATTGACAAATAGTGACATCCTAGTAACAGGTGAGAGACCATGCCTCACAAAGTTGGATAAGAAGAAAATCCCACTTACTGAATTACTCCAAAATTAAGCTATGAAGTGCCGGCCAAATAGCTCAGCGGATTAAAGCACCTGCAAGCAGGCACAGGAGCCAGGGGTTTGATCCCCCAGCCTGTGTGCCAGCCCTGCCCTCAGGGCATGCTGAGATAGCAATTGACTGGGCCTGGTGGCATGCCTGTAATTCTCAGCTCTTAGGAGGCTGTAAACAGGCAGATCACTATTAGTCCCATCTAGCAGTGAGATCTTAAAAACCCTGTAGACCCTTCCCTAAAAAAGTACAAAACAACAACAAAATTAAGCTATGAAATACTGGAATTTTTAATTTATTCAATTTGTTGTTCTAAACACTGGATAGGGACTGGGAAACAGTAGATAGTAAGGTTTTCTCCTTTGTGGAGTTTATTAGAGAAGGGGAATTTGAAGCCATTAATTCTGAGTGTGACAAAAAGGAAAGGAACTGAACTCTGTGGGCCTTCAATGCAAGGACATTACCTAGACTTGGAAAGTCAGGACAGACGAATGTGAGACCAAAAACTTCTCTTTATTTAGCAGAAAGCAGCATAAAGGTAACCTCTGTAGTAGTAGTGAAAGAACTCCTAATTAGGCTGCTGATGCGCCTTTTTTTCTATGAAATTAGAAATATCTTTAATAGCTTAGGATGCTGATAAGGATCTGGTGAAACTAAATTATGACGCTGTTGTTGGGTAGGTCCTTCTAGAAATAACTTGCCACACAAAGTTACCAGGTTTTTGGGATGCCTCTTGGCTTCCAAGTTCTCTGTCTTCAACAAAGAATGAAACAAAATAAGCCACAAATAGTGAGAGAGTTTGTATTTGACAAGTGAAGGGGGAAAGTTAAAGGCGGTAAAAGTACACCCTCCGTACTTCCTAGTCTTGCGTCTGTGTCTGTCTGCACCCCTGCCCCAGGCGAGTATTTCATCTGTGCCCTTCCCTTCCCATCCTGTACCTCAAGAGTCTGTTTTCCCTTCAGAGTCAAGCTAAGATACTACCTCTTTGTAGCTTTTCTTTCTCATCTCTTTTTCTTCAAATTAATCTCACATTTGTCTTCCAAGAATGGTCCCCTATCATTTATATTGTAATAGGCATACCTTCTTCAAGGCAGGAATTGCTTACAAAATCTCTAGGGATTGTATGGCATATTAATAGACAGTCAATAAATGAGAACAAATTGATTAACTGTTAAACACTTTCATTTATTACAGGGGCATTTGTGCAATGAGCCTTTGGATATGTATAGTTATTTACACAACCAAGGGATTGGCATTTCACTTGCTCAGTTCTATATTTCATGGGCTGAAGAATATGAAGCTAGAGAAAACTTTAAGAAAGCAGATATGATATTTCAGGAAGGGATTCAACGGAATGCAGAGCCTTTAGAAAGACTGCAGTCCCAGCACAGGTAAATTGCTTCTCTGGGGTGTGTCTTAACTCTTTGTAAAACTGAGGAGAACTAAGCGGTCTTTTTGCATAGAATAAAATACTCTCTGATGTATTGGCAAGTCAGATTTATGTAGTTATTACTCATTGTTTTAAACATTTTCATTTTATCTAGTAAAATCCAATCTTTGGTGTACTACTGTTCTGTGAGATTTCATAAATGAATAGACACGTAACTGTCACCATGATCAAGGTATATAATAGTTCCACAGCCCCTAAAGAATTCTCTGTTTATAATTAATACATGCATGTTTACCCTGGCCTGGCAAAAACAAATCTATTCAGTCCTGTAGTTTTGCTTTTTTTCCAGACTGTTGTGTAAAGAGAATCATATAAGCTTTTGAGTCTAGCTTCCCTGATTTATCACACTGCTTTTGAGTTGTGAGAATTCTTTGTGTTTTAAATAAAAATCTTTTATCAGTTACATGATTTATAAATATTTTCTTCCAGTTTGAGTCTGGTTTAATGTTCTTTTAACTCTTTTACAGAATAAAAATTTTCTAATTTTGAAGAGATTGTATTTATCACTTTTCTAGTAGAGTCCCTCGCTAATTCGTGCTTCGACTTTTGTTTTGTTTTTTAATTTTTATTTATTTATTTGTGTGTATGTGTGTGTGTGTGTCCAGCTCAGCCCACCAGGGGGTGGGGCTGACTGGCATGTGGTGCTGGGGGATTGAACCACGGTCCCTGTGCTTTGCTAAGCTTGTTCTAAGTAGGTGCTTTAGACCACTGAGCCATCTCACCAGCCCCCGTACTTCGACTTTTGTGGATTCACTGTTTAATGAACTTTCAAAAAATATTAATCTAAGTTATTTATTATGGATTTTTTGCTCTACCTCGAGATTTTGTAGTACTGTGCTATATACGTATGTTGTTAAAATTATATGGGTTTACCAGTTTAGAAACTGGGTAAGAACATTAAAAGTGTTTTTAAAAGTATCCAAAAAAAAGTGTATCAAAAGGTTTACAAGAGTGTGGAAAGGGTTTACAAAGCCTTAAAATATACATAAATACTAAAATATAAAGTCCCTATTTCTCTTATTTTCACTTATCACAGGGGTGTCTGGAATGTAACCTCTGTGATATGTGAGGGACCACTGTACGGATTTTGCTTTTGTTATTGTTTCTTAGAACTCTGTCTAGTTGAAGTTTGCAAAGATTTTTCTCCTAAGGTGTTTGTTTGTTTTGTTGTTATTTAAGGTACAGGGGACTAAACCCCCTGCTTGTCACATCAGGCAAGTGCTCTATCACCGAGTTACACTCTGCAGCCCTCTCATGAGTTTTCATACTCAGCCTTTTGTAGTTGTACTCTTTACATTAAGATGTATGATCTAGCTGAGTCCTGTGGGGTATTACTTGTAGCTCCAGCACTTGATGGCTGAGGTGCAAGGATCACTTAAGCCCAGGGGTTCAAGACCAGCTTGAGCAGCATAGTGAAACTTCGTTTCCAAAAAGAAATAAAAAAGGTCTGTAGGGTCAACCAAATAGCTCAGCAGATTAAAGTGACTGCAAGCAGGCACAGGGGCAGAGGATTTGATCCTCCTGCCTGCTGTGCTGGCCCTGACCCTGGGTGGGGCTCGCTGAGACAGCAGTTGAGACGGGGCGTGGTGGCACACACCTGTAATTCCAGCTCTTGGGAGGCTATAAACAGGCGGATCACTACAAGTCTGATCTAGTAATGAGACCCTGAACACCCTGTAGACCCTTCCCTAAAAGTCTGTGACCCATTTTGAGTTAATTTTTGTATAGGGTATGGGTCAAGTTTCTTTTTGTTTTTAACATGTAAATGTCCATTTTTCTTCAGTTCCCTCTTTTCAAAAAATTAACCTTTATGCTTTTATCAAAAAACATTTTATCATATTTGTCTAGGCTTGTTACTCTTGTTTGTTCTCTTTTGCGGAACCAGGGGTTGAACTCAGGCCCTTGTGCTTGCCAGGCAAGCGCTTATTCTACGGAGCCACCGCCCTGGCCCCTTGTTTGTACTCTTGATCTGTGTGCCTGTCCATCAGTGTATACCACACTATCTACATTACTAGAACTTCATAGTTAAGTCTAGAAATAAGTTAAAAAGCCTGTTCGTGAACTTAGAAGGCTGAGGCAAGAGAATTTCTGAATTCAAAGCTAAACTTGGCTACATATAGTAAGTTTAAAGCGAGAGCCCGTCTCAAAAAAAAAAAAAGCTTACATTTGTAGTTCTTCTAGTACTGTTGACTACATGGGTTTTTTGTTTTTGTATGTTGCTAGTGATTGAACCTTGAGCCTCTTATATGTCTCAGCATACACTCTTATCACTGAGCTAAAAACCACAGCTCTGTCTATAAGGTTTAGAATCAGCATTCTGGGATTTTGATTAGGATTGTGCATGAACACATTATTTTTCTCCATTTAGGTATGATTTAGTACTTTTTTACCTTGCATGGAGTCAGCCTCTTTCATATAAGTTTATAGACATAGAATTTTTTCTAATGTTCCTTTATTCTTTAAATGCCTGTGGGTTATATTGATCTTTTTTTCCTCTGTCTGACTAGAAGTTTATCAATTATGTCAGAAATCCAGCTTTTGGATTCACTGATTTTTCTCTTATTTATTTGTGTTCTTAATTTTATTTATGTTCTTTATTTCTTTTTACTTACTTGGCGATAGTCCTTTTCTACTTAGAGATAAAAGTTTTCTAGTCCTTTCTCGTTTTCCCTTTCTGAGGTGCTTGGTTTGGAATCCAGGGCTACTTGAGTGACCAAGGACTCTCCCAGTCAGGTATATCCCCAGCCTTCCTTTTTTTACCCCTTCCATTTTCTTCTTTTTCTTTCTTTTTTCTTTGCAGTGCTGCATAACAAACCCTGGACCTTGCACATGCTAGGCAGGCATTCTACCAGCCCATCTCTCTCTGCCTCTCTCTGTCTCACTGTCTGTCTCTGTCTCTGTCTCTCCCTTCCCCTCCCCTCCCCTCCCCTCCTCTCCCCTTCTCTCTCTCTCTCTCTCTCTCTCTCTCGCTCTCGCTCTCTCACTCTCTTTTTCTAGTGGGGCGGTACTGAGGATTAATCCCAGAGCTATATCCTCAGCCCTTTTTTTTTGAGACAAGGTCCCACTGTACTGCATTTTGCAGTCCTGCTGTCCATCTCCCAGAGTGCTGGGATCACAGGTATGTGCCATCAGACTGGCTTCCAGCCCTCTTTTTTTGGTGGTGGTAGGGGGAGTTCTCTAACTTTATTTTAAAGTTCGTTCTCTTCCACATTCACTGTGGAGATTTTTGAGTGTGGTAACAGGGTCGTTAGTTACCAAGGTATACAGTTTGGTGACTCTTCATCCTCATTCCATTTCCTGGACAACTGTACCTGGCCAGATAGGATATGGAACAGTCCTTATTCCTTTGGCCCAGACAGCTGTTGAGCTTGGTGTCGATGCACACGTCTAGAGTCCCCATGTCCTTCATGGCAAACTTCTGGATCTCCTTAAATGCCCGAGGGGTGCACTTCTTGAAGCCCACTCCATGGATACACTTGTGAATGTTGATTGTGTATTCTCGGGTCACCACTTCATTGATGCCGAACAGAGATGTTCATCTTCATTGATGCTCTTCTTCTCCTCACCCTTCTTTGTAGGAGCCATTCTGTCTTACCCCAGCCCTCAATTTTTAAAATCTGCACTTAATAATCTAACTTTCCTTCAAAGCATTGCTTTAATTGCATCTCAACTAAAGTTTTGATAATACTGTACTTTAATATTCACTCAGTTTAAAATAGTATTTTTAGTTGATACCATGTCTTCCTTTTGACTGCACAGATTGGTTGGTTGGTTTGAGACAGGGTGTCCCTGTATTCCTTGAATTCACTATGCAGTCCTCCATGGCCTTGACCTGTCAGCTATCCTGCCTCAACTTTCTGAAGGCAGTGGGTTACAGATGGATACTGCCACACCCAGGTTTTTGACCTATAGGTTATTTAGTAGTACCTAATTGGGAAGTACTTGCTTATTTACTTATTTCACTAGTTACTTATATAGTGACACTCAGGGCAGTCACACTGAGCTACATCTCCAGCCGTTTTTTAATTTAAAGACCTGTCTCCCTAACTTAGTCACCCAAGCTGGGTTCTGAGTAACAGTCCAACTGTCTCAGCCTTCCAAAGTGCTAAATAACAGGCAAGCACCACCACACTTGGTTTGGAAATGTTTTTTGATTTTTCAGATCTTGCCTTGTTAATTGATTTTTAGTTTAATTCCATGTGATTAAAGAACATAATTTGTATTATTTGATTTTTTTTGCATTTCTTATAGTTTGTTTTGTCACCCAGAATATGATTTTTTTATTTTTTTTAATTTTTTTCATAATTTTATTGATAAATAGCAATGAGACAGTTTCAAATCAAATTGGTAGGACAGTTTCA